TCGTTGATTCTGGTGCGCCACGGTGAATCTCTGTGGAACCTTGCTAATCTGTTCACCGGCTGTGTTGACGTCCCTCTCTCTTCGAAGGGAGTTGAAGAAGCCTTGGCTGCGGGAGATCGAATCTCAGACATTCCCATCGATATTATATTCACATCTGATCTCATAAGGGCACAAATGACCGCCATGCTGGCAATGACACGTCACCGATCTACGAAAACTCCTATCGTTATGCCACTCTCGTCATTGCAAAGCAGCGCGCCGACGAAGATGCCTACGACCGGTAGCAATGACGCCGACCGTCACGCCGTCTCCGACCGCGGCACCGACCAGGTCGTGCACGACCGTCATCGGCAGCGGTCTACTCCTTCGAGGTGGGTATCCCCGGCGGCCTCAGCCGACGACGTTGACGACAACAAAATTGGCAGTGGCGCTCGCCAAGTGCAAAAGCTCAATGACAAGGCGAGCATCACGGCTGAATTTGATGCTGATGTCAACATAAAAGACCGTCATGCTGACGATGCTGAACACGCTGGTCATCAGGGTGGAAGAGGCGGTAGTCAAGGAGGAAGAGGAGGAGGAGGGACTACTAGCAGCAGCAGCAGCAGCAGAGGCAGCATCGGCAACCCGTCTGCTGCCGCCGATCATATGGTGACCGTAGATGGAGTTGATGGGGGGGGGCATCAAGGGATCGTCGACGGGATGGAGGAGGGGGAGGAGATGATGGGGATGAGCGGCGGCGGGGTCTGCGGATCGCGGGCGCAATGGGGGAAGATTAGCGGCAAGCAAGCGGTCGAGAGTTCGATTCCCGTGGTCAAAGCTTGGCAGCTGAACGAAAGGATGTACGGCGATCTTCAAGGGCTTAACAAGACGATGACGGCGGAGAAGTACGGGGAGGAGAAGGTCCGGCTATGGCGGCGGAGCTACGACGTTCCCCCTCCGGCGGGCGAGAGTCTGGAAATGACCGCGAGTCGCGCCGTGGCCTTCTACAGGCGACACGTGGAGCCGCAGCTGCGCGCCGGAAAGAACGTCCTGATCGCTGCTCATGGCAATTCCCTCAGAGCTATCATCATGTACCTGGAGGGACTTAGCCGCGAGGAGGTTGTGCAGCTTGAGCTATACACAGGAGTGCCAATGCTGTACTTGTACGAAACACAGCCGCAACAAGAAAGCGGAGGAACTAGCGGAGTTGATGTGGAAGGGGAAAGAGGAGGAGGGGGAGGAGCAGGGAAAGGAAATGGTTGGGGTGTGTTTAGAGAACTAAAGGAGGAAGAAGACTTACAGGGGACGGAGAAGAAGAGGGAGCTGCGACGAGAAAGCTGCCTAAGCGGAGGAACGCGAGGAAGGTATTCTGAAGTGGAGAATGGAAGAGGAGGAGGAGGAGGAGAAGGGGATGGAAATGGTGAAGGAGTGGTGGGAAAAGAAAGGAAGGAACAGGTCTTAGCGGGGACGCCGGAGAAGGAGGTGATGGTCATTAGGAGAGGGAGTCCGCTTCCGGGAAGGTATTCTGAAGTGAAGATTGGAGGAGGAGGAGGAGGAGGAGGAGGAGGAGGAGGAGGGGATGTAAATGGTGAAGGAGTGGTGGGAATAGGAAGGAAGGAACAGGTCTTTGCAGGGAAGGAGGAGAAGGAGGTAGTGGTCATTAGGAGAGGGAGTCCGCTTCCCCACCATGTCTATGGTGTCTACGCTCTGTCTGCAGATTTGGCTAAGTATAAGGACAGGCATGGCAACTAGTAGGGAGAGAGAGAGACCTCCTGCCCGCAAAGTCGCTCGCAGAGTTGAAGTAACATCATCATGATGGAAGTTGATGGAAAGTCATGCGCTTGATTGAATGGTGGCAATGATAGCCATTCGAATTTTGAATGGCTGTCAAATTTTTGAATACGGCAAGTGGGCGGCGGACCACAACGCGGGCCAGCTCAAAAAGAAGAAGGGCCGCTGGCAGCGGGAAAAGGGCATCGCCACATCACTCTCACGAAATGTGCAAAATGAGAATGAACTTTCCGCTAGAACATGGACAAATGCAGCCGCCAGAGTTTTGTCTTTTTCACATTTCGAGAGTGGGGTGGCGATGTGTGATGAGGTCGAAAGTAGGGCCTCGCTCCATTGCTCTACGATACGACAAGCACAAAAGACAAAACAATATGGCTGTGTATATCTCCATGTTCTCGCGGAAGATTCATTCTCATTTTGCACATTTGGTGAGTAGTGCAGCGAGGCCCAAGGGCGACAGTTGCGGGTACGATAGGGACTCAGTGTCTGCTTCTCGGCCTCTTTCGCCCGGATTACGAACCTGGCGCTGTATTTGCAACAGATTCATTGTGCTGTGGGCCAGATCTGCGGATTTTCCCTCGCTGTTTATTGGCGGTCTCGGACATTCCGGCGCGCTGGAGTGAGAGTAGGACGCCTTGCCGAGCTGTGTCTATCTGGCATGTGTCTCTAACGGAGGGAGGCGTATATATATTCTTGTGACAATATAGGAATCTCCGCACGTGATGCGTGCAGAACGCATGCCGAGCTGTGTCTATCTGGCATGTGTCTCTGCTCGTGTGGCTGTGGCTCTGCGTGTGTGGGTGTGGGTGTGGGTGTGGGTGGGTGTGTGTGCGTGCGTGTGTGTGTGTGAGGGAGAGGCAGGGAGAGATTCGTTTACGGAAGCCACGGTGTATATATCGTCCGTGACAAGCGGGGGGGGAAAAAGAGAGAGAGAGAGAGAGAGAGAGAGAGAGAGAGAGAGAGAGAAGATTGTGGAGCAGAGATGATGAATCTTTTTGTGCGAAGTCAGTTTTGACCAATGGCGAGGATTTTGGGGGACGGGTGGGGTGAGGTGAGGTGTGAGGCTCGGCTTGAGTGTGCACGAATACGGCTAAGTTCTCCTCAACAGGTAAGCAGGCGTCCACGTGAGCATTAAGGGCTTGCTATGACTATTCCACAACAGTGCGACATCAGTTTTGACCAATAATGTGTGTGTGTGTGTGTGTGTGTGTGTGCGAGAGAGAGAGAGAGAGAGGGAGAGAGAGAGAGAGAGAGAGAGAGAGAGAGAGAGAGAGAGATGGGTCGTTGCAAGAGTTACGTTGGAGGTCTTCAGGTGAGGTCAGTTTAATTGAATCATGATAGTCTCCGTGGGTTGGGGGGAGGACGTCCCTAAGGAGGAACAGGTGAGGTGACTTGTGAGGCTCGACTCGAGAAGTTACGAACACGAGTCAGCCCACCTGAACAGTGTGAACAGGTAACGAGATGCACAGTCACACGTATGACTATCATATCATACCATGAGTATTTGCCATTTGGCAGTAAGGCAATGCTGAATCCTTTACTGCGACCTCATTTTTCTCCAATGACAATGTGTTTGTATGTGTTTGTGTGTCTGCCTGTGTGTCGTCATATTCGCTACCATACACAACTCCTTAAAGACCAAAAACGAAAAGCATGACTGTGCTAGACTGTCAGTGTGTGTGTGTGTGTGTGTGTGTGTGTGTGTGTGTGTGTGTGTGTGG